TAAGGGGCAGGAGAAAGGCTAGCGAAGCTGCAGCAGACGAGCAAGTTGGGGAGTGACACTGACAGAGGAAGAGGCTGGGGAGACGGGAGACAAATCATATTGGGCCCTGACGGGCGGGTAAGAAGTTTGAATTTTATCTGAAGAGACATGTGAACTGCTGAGGGTTACAGGAGAGTCCACGTATGTTTATTAAAAACAATAATCCCAGCTACCAGGGGGGATTGAATTGCAGGGTTCACAAGAGGAGTTGGGGGGCCCTTGATGAGCATGGAAGAGCGCCCAGGTGACGGGCTTGGGCTTCAGTGAGTGTGTGCGGCAAAGGCAGCGGGAAAGGGGAAGATGAGCTGACCCAATCAAAGAACAAAGAAATGAGTTCCCTAGTTGGTATTATTTAGGATGTGGGTGAAGAAGGGTCCCAGTCCTCACTGAGTGAGACCCCCCTGCTCCCTGCCCCTGTCCTCTCTGAGCTCCAGCATGGTGTGTCTGCGGCTCCCAGGAGGCTCCTGGATGGCCGCTCTGAAGGTGGTGCTGATGGCACTGAGCCCTCCCCTGGCTCAGGGCAGGGACACACCAGAGCAGGTCTGGGCTAGGTATTTCCACAACTTGTTAATGAAAAAAATCCCTAAGGATTTTATCTTGAACTCAAGCCCAGGTGCATGAAATCCTGCACGGGTGGGGTCCCTAGGCCTGGATAACAAACAGGGCCTATGAGAGCTGTCTCACCCAGTCCCAATTGGGCTCGCGGCTGCTATATGAGACCTGCTGGATCGGGGGAGGGATGAGGGAAAGGACCACAGGAGGTTGCCTGGCCTTGGGATGTGGGCTGTGGGAGTGCACTGACCACCAGGAGGCAGCTCTTGCATTGAGTGTTTGCCGCTTGGTGGTCAGTGCGCATCATAGTGACTGGTCGACCAGTCATTGTGATTGTTCCAGTTGTTCAATCATCATGGTCATTTAGGCTTGTATATATGAGTGGTTAGGAATAAACGTTTTGTGTAAGTTTGAAATGATTTTTTGACATTTGTGTGGAGCTGCTAAGAGGTCAGTTGAATACAGGAGCCTTGAGTTCAGGGCTGGTCAGGGCAGGAGTTGTTTGTGTTTGTGTCATTGACACATGTGCTGTGTTAAATTCCAGGTAAGTTGAGTAAGAGAGAGAGAGAGAGAGAGAGAGAGAATAAGAAGATGCCAAGGGTAGAGCCCAGAGGACACTGAGAAGGAGTGCAGTGTGTTGAGGAAAACCAAGAGAAGGTGATGCAGGGCAGTGAGGGGAAGTAGATTTTTCCAGAAGGGAATGCCCAGGTGTGGTGAGAACTGCTACGAGGCAGGGAAGGAGGACATGCAGAGCAGTGAGCACTGGGTTTGGTGGGTGTGACGTTCACAGTCAGTGGAGAGTATGAGTTGGAACCTGATTGGACCCTTTGAACAGAAGGACGGGGGCTGAAGACATGAGGGATGATTACAGGTGCCTCTGGGCTGTGACCTCATGGAGACTGTGCGCTGGGGTCAGGGAGTCAGTGGACCTAAAGCATAAGAACAAAGGAGCCTGATGAGAACCTGGGGGACGTGAGAACCAGAGATGCTCAGTCATCAGCGAGGAGCCACTGGAGTGACCTTGAAGGCAGAGGTGACTGGTTATGAAAGCCACCAATTCCACAGCCACCGTTTATTAGTGACCAGAGCAGACAGTCACCACCTGGGGAGGAGGTGGAGTCATGGACAAGACAAACCTGGTCCCTGCGGCATGGAGCAGCGTCACAGTGGGCAGTTACTGTGCACCAGGCCTACATTTGAGTGTGTGACTCTCATAACCATCCTGTCTCACCTGCAGCAATTACAGATGTAATCACCCATGGAATCTGATTCAGAGAGTTTAAGCAACTTACCCAGAGTCACAATGTTAGTTGTAGAGCCAGGTGACATAGCCTAGGTCTCAGTATCTAGAAAGTCCTGTCTTCTACATCAGCATAGTCCTTTCATAGGAGGTGCATGTATATCCT